ATCTTCTTGAAGAACATTTTGGGAACGAAAATAAAATTGCCTCTGCATATATGGAGAGGATTCTGAGTTGGGCACCTATTAAAAGCGAAGATGTGAAAGGTCTTCAGTTATTCTCTCTTTTTCTTCAAGGATAAAATTGTTCATATGAAGGAGTTGGATTTGCCCTCAAACAAGAGAATGATTGTTATGAAACTTCCATACAAATTATATAATATAAAAATAAAATTATATTCTTTTATTTTTGCATCGCTCAAAATAAGCGTCACACTCGTAGCCGGTGTCCCCGCCTAAACGCCTGCATTTATCGAGACTTTCAACCCCAGGTAGGTCAATTATGGATCTTCGGATCCACATGATGTCAGCAGCTGTTCTCCAGCGTGAGCTATGTTAAACCAAACGCTGCTCACGCCTCACAGACGACAGCTTACAGTCCTGTAAAGATAAAGTGACTTCGTACAGCCCCGACCTGCAGACGCTGTGCGCTGAGGTTCAGGAGCAGAAGTCCCGTTGTAAACATGTCACAGCAGACCCCACGATGTTTGCATGAACACGCTTTACAGCATCTCTTTATTGACCACTTTACACACACGGTTGCTGTGCGCACACAGCCGGCTGTAGCGTTTCAGCCCACAGCCCGACACACACCAACAACAGCATAGATGGCACAGATGTTAAGTGATTGTGGGTGCCGCTCAGGTGCGTCCTCCTCCCCTGCAGCGGCGCTGCAGACCACGCCCCCCCACACACACATTAACCAGGTAAAATACATATTTAGGCAGAATTTTGCAGGTATTTATTTATTAATTTTTTTATCAGCATAGTGCTTTTTTTCCAATTACTTTTTAAAAGTCAGGTCAAGGCTCCAAAAGCCCAAAGGCGATATCTGATAAACTAAAACCTACACCATCCGCCCTATTCTGGTATTCTAAACAGTAGCTGAAACCCAAAGACTGCTTGGTTGAGTTAACCTCCTGAACTATCTACAACACATGGTGGAAACCTGAAATAAAGAGGCGACTTTTGTTGTGATTTGGCGCTATATACCGGTAAATAAAATTGAATTGAATTGAGAAGACTAGAGGTGAGACATGATCATTACTGAATATTAAAAATAATAAATGACAGATTTAGTGATATTTTCATAAACTATTTCTTTGCCACATCAATAAACAGCATGGCAGGGCAAAATATGTTTTCTAACATGGCAACCTTTAAAAAGTGAAAGGAGACAGAAAGACAGGTGAGAAAGAATAAAACTTAACTGACTTTTTGATGGCATTTTACACACAG